CCCCAAAACCCCAAAACCCCAAAACCCCAGTTGATAATGAATTGGTCAAATTGATTGTTGATTAATCTTAAAAAATTAAGGAAGATATATTGTAATATCCCTTGATTAATTTAAGTCAATTGTATTAGTCTCATTGGTTTAACTCATCTACTCTATCCAGGAAGATTTGACTTTTGTTACTATTATGAGGCTCCTACACCACCTTTTTCGTAAACTTGCTTTTGCTACTCAGACTGAGTCTATCCAGTGGATTGTGAGTACATTGGGACATTGGATTGCTTGAAGGGATCAAATGCTTGTTGCTATTATTGTCCTGCTGAGTACTACTATTTCTAGCCAGTCGAGGAATAAGGTTCTTATCTCTACTACTATTGAGAATATTATTACCCTGAGGTGCCTAATTATCCAGTCGCTCCTGCTGATCCTGTGGTGCCTGCAAGTCCAGAAGTTCCTGATGTCTCTGATGATTGAAGCATTTGAGGTTCATCAATTTTAGATTGGCCTTCTATGGCATCCTAGCCTCTGTTGAAGCTATAGACATGCTTCTGATTGCTCTAGTCCAAAAAGCTTACATTGACCATGTAGTCATTCTTGTTAGTTTCTGGGTTGTGCTTGATTTCATTGAAATACTTGACGATTCTAGCAGGTGCCATATTTTTCTACTTAGCATCCTTGAGGAACTAAGAGAAGATTTGAGTTTCACCGCCAGCACCTGTTTGCTCCTTAAACTGAATGTAATCCTTAAGAGTTTCCAGTTCACAAGGAGGGTCACAAACGATCTCTTTAATCACGTGAGGAATCTTCACTCCGTCTCTTTCTTTGGTAGTCTCGAGAGTCTTATATCTGATTCTCTTTCCATTCACCACATCGTCTCTTTGGTCAAGAGAGTGGAAAGATTTGGTGTATGAAGTCCTTTCAGGAGTAATCTTTTTCTATTGAATGCTTGGAGTTTGCAGCATTCCAGTCCTTGCTTACTCCATCTCATTTTCAAATTGATTGAAGGTAGTGTCTAGCATTCTGTCCATCATCTCGAATTGTCTCCAGACACTCCAGTTGAGATCAAATGGATCCCATCTTCTTAAACCCCATTCTCCGTGCATCATTTTATTGATATATTCTTTATTGGTTAATTTATATTCTAAAAGTATCTATCCCTTTTATAGTTTTAATTTGATTAAGGATTTTACTTGTTTCCTTAATTGGGACCTGACTTCAATTTATGGGGTTTTGGGGTTTTGGGGTTTTGGGG